GTCTTCCACGTTCCTTCCTTTAGTCTCCCACTTAGACTAAAGATCAGATCATGCAAGTAAACAAATCCCACTTCAGCCACCTTCCAACAAAACCAGAAAATGGAGAATGGATTCTCCAAACCAAGACAACCAATTGGCAATGAGTGCTCTCCCAACTATACAGCAGGTAGTCCACCTTCTTTTACCTCAGAAGTGACCCATTAAACACCTGCAATCGTGTGGAAAGCGATAGCCACCGAAAACACAGTTGAAAACACGTAAGAAATCGTCACAGCACAACTGGGACGACCGGCGACCGGTCGCTTTTGGACTGAGGCTTCAGTTTCGATTCTGTTTCTTTACGACCGGTCGCAAATGGCACACGACCGGTCGCTCATGCTTCCTGGGACCGGTCGCAAAGAACTAGCGACCGGTCGCCCCATGCATTTGCTCCAGACTTCGAATCTGTGTAAAAACGACCGGTCGCCCAAACCTTGCGACCGGTCGCTCACTCCTTCACTTGCATACTAAATGTGAGCCATTTTCCAACACATAATACAAGATAAATGATTATTAAGATAAAATATGACAGCAGAAGCACATTGCTTATTTCGTGTATCTTGCAATAAAGAAAAAGATGGCCAGGGACATCCCCAATCCTTTAGGCATACATGGATTGGAGTCCAGCTGCATTGCTCCTCAACGTCTCCACCTTTGATTTATGTGAACATGTCTTCGATGAATTCCAATTCTTTCCTCCAGCTGTGGGAATATCTTAAGAACCATCCTGTACATAGCTCTGTAATACCACTTACTCCATTTCTTGCACAACACAAGTGACCCAACGGAAACTCCAAAGCCAACTGTAAATCCAATTTCAACACTGATAAGATCCCAATTAATCCTACGATGGCCAGAATTTGGAAGGCTTTCATTTAATGCTTGTGGTGGTGCTTGTTGTGAATTTGAGAACAAACTCAACTCACCCTCCCCTAATGATCTTGTTGTTGATGGACTTTGTGACAAACACAAATATGGATGAATCACACACACTACACTTGAGAAACTAACCAAGCACAAAATGACACAAGAATTTATAGAGGTTCAGCATTGGTGATCCCCTTGAGAAATTCACTAATGAAAGAATAAGTTACAACTTTGGTTTACAAAGAAACCCCCTTAGAACTCTATTCTCTCCCCAAGCTTTCTTTTCTCTCTCACCCCTTGCTCAACACTTTGATACACTAGAAAACTCTTAAGCCATGATATTATTCTTACATGCTAAACCCCTTTATATAGCCAAATATGCAAGAGTGTGAATGCAACCTCACACTATTCAAATGTTGGCTACCAAACTTAACCATGGATGGCTACCAAACATTCCACCATTTTGTGCCACCAAACAAGTCACCTATTTTTGACAAAGATGGCAAGCCAATATTTACTCACATGGGCAACTCCAAAATTCATCTAGAAATGAGTCAACCATGTCATGGAATTAGGTAGAAATCCATAGCACAAAAAAGAGGACTTTGTATCCTTAGGTGAGCCAAATTTCCAACAATCTCCACCTTGGCGAACCTTAATCACCCCGTGAACCATTGTTGTCCTCTAGAACCTCTTCAACCTCTTAGAAATCGTTCTAGTAATTTCCAAGAGCTCCACCATGGCAATTAACCTCTTGCCTCAATGTACCTTTGGTGGAAGGTGCTCTACCCAAGTCTAAACTTGAGTAACTTGGACCTCCTGTGCAGAAGAGAGATCCCCCATGCCAAATTCGTTGCTCCTTGCCTTCTTGGAACCTTGAATCTTGGACATGCCTTGATATGCAAACCACATACCAAACCTTTGTTCACTAAATCCCCTCTTAGCACTCCTTGCTCTTGGATTTAAGAACACACTTCTTTTCATCAATGCACCTCTCCAACTTTCCCGCTTCATGCTCCCTATAGCACTCTGAAACGTGGCTGGAACTTCTTGGTCCATCCATCCAAAACCTAGGGAAGGTTTGATGAATTCCTTGGGCTCGGACCTTGCACTTGATGATGGCTCCACCTCAAGTAGAACCCCTTTGTGAGTTTGCTGTTGTTGCCCTCCTTCTTCAACCCTTGTGTCAAGCTCCACCTCAAATGAAGTTTCTTCCATGACCACCTTGGCAAGAAGTTTCCCTTCAACAACATTCTCCTCATCATCCCTTGTCTTGACTTCACTTTCTACACCTTTGAAATCAAGCACCTTTGATAATGAACCGTTAGTCACACAACTTTGACTAACCTTTCTTGCCCAGCTTCTTTTGAGCAAACCTGCAGCTACATTATGTTGAACTGGCTCTTTGACTTTAAGACTTGTTGCCTGCTCTTCCTTGGTACCATTCTCTGCACCACCTGCAAATGTACCACCCACAAGCTTGTATGTGTTGTTTGGTTGAATCTCCCCTTTCATAACTACCACAGAACCTTGTGTGACCATGAGCTTCCCTCCTTCGGCCTTGTAAGAACACCCTTGTCTATCCAAAGAGCCAAGAGAGAGTAGATTCGTTCTTAGTGCAGGTACAAACCTTACCTCACTAAGACTCCAAACTTCACCACCTTGCAACTTGATCTTCACAGTTCCTATGCCCAAAACCTCACATGTAGTTTTATCTCCCAACATAATCTTGCATGCCTTCTTTTCCTCATATGTGTCAAACATCAACTTATTTGCACACACATGATATGAGCACCCGGAATCTAAAATCCAACTTGAAGAAGAACTTGAACTCTTACCCGAAGAACTTGCCATGACTTCCCCGTTACTCTCCTCCGTAACCGTCAAGAGCTCATCACAAATGTCATCATCACACACATTTGCTGAACTTTCGGCTTTCTTCATCTTGTTCTGCTTCTCCTTCCAAACTGGACAATCTCGCCTCCAATGATCCGTAGATCCACACTCGAAGCACCCTTCATTGTCCTTGGACTTAGCATTTCTCCTGTTGCTACCCTTGCCTCCACGCTTGCTTGAACGGCTCCCTGCGATCAATCCAGCATCTTGAGAGTTCTCCTCCGAACGTTGAGACATCCTGTGGTGCGTCATCACATCTTGCACCACGTCCTCAAACTTCAAGGTACTCTTCCCGAACATAAGCGTCGTTCGGAAATGCTTATAAGACGGAGGCAATGATGTAAGAAACATGAGTGCCTTATCCTCTGTATTATACAACACTTCCATTCTTTGCAAGTCAGCAACACATCTATTGAAGCTGCTCAAATGCTCCATTAGATTACCTTCCTCCTCCATACGAAGATTTAGGAGTTCTTCCTTGAGGAAGAGTAAGTTACAACTTTGGTTTACAAAGAAACCCCCTTAGAACTCTATTCTCTCCCCAAGCTTTCTTTTCTCTCTCACCCCTTGCTCAACACTTTGATACACTAGAAAACTCTTAAGCCATGATATTATTCTTACATGCTAAACCCCTTTATATAGCCAAATATGCAAGAGTGTGAATGCAACCTCACACTATTCAAATGTTGGCTACCAAACTTAACCATGGATGGCTACCAAACATTCCACCATTTTGTGCCACCAAACAAGTCACCTATTTTTGACAAAGATGGCAAGCCAATATTTACTCACATGGGCAACTCCAAAATTCATCTAGAAATGAGTCAACCATGTCATGGAATTAGGTAGAAATCCATAGCACAAAAAAGAGGACTTTGTATCCTTAGGTGAGCCAAATTTCCAACAGTGCTTTGTTATCCACTGTTAAAGGAGGCCCCCACTATTAAATTTGCATATAGTGCATGTATTTACACATTATTCACGTTTCATATATGTATCTTTTTACAAATTGTTTAATATAAGTAAACTTCATGTATTATGCACATATTATTAAGTAAAATAATACACTTTAATTTTTTTTAAATTAATATTGAAATACCATTCTTTCTTTTTTTGTCAAATAATATATGTACATATTTTATTTGTATTTTTTCTATCCCGTATTTTAGTAACTGAAGTATGAAAGAAATTTCACCTATAGATTTATACTAAAATCCACGTCATTGAGAGCCCGTGCTAACAATTTGGGCTATGGAAGAAACTCCTCCCCAAAATCCACGTGATTTACTGCCTACGTTGCTTGTTCCAAATATGCCTCTCTTTCATGATGTCTTTTATTTGCTTTAACTCTTTATAATGTCGTGCTTTAACTGAAAGTTGATCGTTAACGTAGTGCATGGCAACTTGTTT